CCTCCTCAGCCACACTAGACGCTGTTCCAAGTCCTCCATACAGAGCACGATACCATAGTCTTTCGAGACTGAAGGATGCGTACTACTATATATTGGACTATAGCTCCCAGAATGCCTAAGAGGCCATAATGGCTGAGGTATTCTGGGAGTTGTGGTCCAAAATAGTATTTCCCCCCCTCTCAAAAATTAAATGGTTACAGATTTATTTCTCTAAGTTAGAGAATGGTGGTTTTATCTCAAAGCAACCCTGTGAAGTAGGGCAAGCTGAGAGACAGCACCTTGCCAGCCCATTTCCTCGCTGAGCAGCCAGTGGCTGTTTAGTAGCATCTGGCAAGCGGGTGCCTCAGAAAGAGTGCCTTGTGTTTTATTCTCTCGTCTCTCCGCCTCCCATGGAAAACAAACTCCATGTGGGAAAGTTTCCCAGCTGAGTTATTTTGGCTGCCTTAGGTGGAAATGGGTTATCAGCCTGTGTGACTCAGGAGTAACTCAGACACTGTCTGCTCTCAGCTTCCCCTCCCGCTGCAGACTAGGATTAACCCATATAGTGCTAGCAAGAGGTCAGTCCTTTACCAAGTGTGTTAAATTAGTACTGTGACAAAGGAACCTAGGCTGGTTTTGTCATTCCTATGCTTCTTGCTTTTGGGGGGAATGGCTTTCAGTCCAGGCCACCACCAAGTGACCCATGGAGAATCAGTGTAGTTGTTGTAGTTAGTCTCTTAGTAAAGAGACGGGGAATCTGTGACCAAGCTCCTGCTGTGCCGTGCAGCTCACTGGGTGATCTTAAGCCAGTCCCTCCTTGGGAGGAGGCCTGTAAGCTACCTTTAACTCACTAGAGGAAAGACAAGCTATCGATATAAGTAATGAATAAATATCCCACCTCTTCTGCTGGTGAAGCAGAACAGCTGGGAGTGTGAACTCTGATCCACATAATCCATGATTTGAATCCCATCTCAGCCATTAATTGACTAGTGGCCCCAGCCACTATTATTGGAGCCTCTCAACATAAGGAAGAGAATGCAGATGATAACATTTCTGATTGTTGTGAGAAATGCCAAGAGAATAATATGTGTGTAACTCAGGAAGGTTGTTACAGACAATAAGGTCGCTGTCTCTTCATAGCAGCTCTTTGGTGCCATTCCTCAGCTGTATTCCTTGTTCTTCCATCTGTTTCATTGACAGCCTTTAATCCCAGTAGGATTGTAAACTCACCATGATATATATTATAATCACTACTCCCTCTTTGTTTTTCTATGGCATATTTGGGGGGGCATTTTTAAAGTTGACACTCCCCCCTCCTGGTACTGGCCTAAACACTTTGTAACACTCCTCACTGTTCAGACAAGCCTTGGCACTCTTCAGGGCTTTATGCTGATGGGGAAACCTTCCCAGATCCTCCAGTGGAGTTGACTAGAGTGGGGCTTTCTGGCAGGGTTTTCCTAGCAGGCAGGGGAGGAGAAACTGCACAGCATGCTTTATTCATTGCTTACAAATAAGACAGTGACTGTTATTATTCTATACTGTTGTTGTTGTTTACTGGTCTGTGCTTTCTTGTATTACTGTCATAAAACAATCGAGTTCTGTAAAACTCCCTCACTGCTTGACTGGAAGCAATCCGGTGTAGTGGAATTATTTTTGAATGGGAC